TGTCTCTGTTATCTCTCCTCCTTTCCTTTATTGAGACCGTAGAACTATTAACTTTTCATATAAGTTCAATGAAGCTTAGCTTATTCTGCAAAATTTTTCGAAATAATTGCAAGCTTCACAACATGTACAAATGATCATGCATAAACATTATTTTTCAATGTAAATACTTAACGCTACGCGTTTCTCATGCGACCTGGGCGTTCCGCGGCGGAAATGTATTCCGGACTTTTAATTAACCTCTGTCTAACCGGGGTGAACGTATGGAAGCGAACTCCTCTCTTCGCCGCGAATCAACTCGCTGTTTAAAAAGTTCTTCCGCAGCTTTGAAGATATTACGGTTATATATCGTATTTTAGTGATTTATTTTATTTTGCATACAGACAAGTTGATAATTATTAGTTAATAAATAATTTATATACATATATGTTCATACATATGTAATATCAAAGAATATATTTTATATTATACTAATAATACTGTAATATGGCTAAAAGAATGTTATAGAAGAATATATTCTTTCTATGATGTCGATTCTAATTTGTGCACAAAACGTTAAAAAAAAACGATTAACTTCTTCAGATCTTATTTTACATGGTTCCGTAAAAGTCTGATCTCAAATGATGTCAATAGAAGTAAATAATTTCAACGGATAAATAATGTCTTCAAATTTAATGTATATTGCTATGTATTGTACTAGATCTAAAGAGGTAAAGAAACTCCGCATTTGAATTAAATATATGACCCTATTTAGAATTAAGTTCAATTTTTAAATCAAATTCTTGCGCTATATTATAAGATTAAAAATATTTTAGATTTAATGTTTTTTGAATTTTGAGTTTTTTGAAAACAGACAAAGATAATAATTTTTTATAACTACTTCGATTTGTAGGAATCAAGTCCTGTAAATATTGCAGCAAGAGATACAAGAGACCTTGGAAATTGAAGATGCATAAATATTGGCATATCGGACTAAAGCGATTCAAGCGCGATTTCTACAAGATACGTGAAGGCACAGTTTGCAAATCACATTCGCACACATCGGCGAAAAATCTTACAAGTATCATACCTGCAAAAGTGTAGGAACAAATATGCGCTGAAAACGCGGGGTAACTCGAAAGAAATTGAAAACTACTTAGAGTTTATTTTTAATCATAACTATAATAACTATAATTATTGAAGTCTAAGAATATATTAAGATTGACGCATTATTGAACATGTAATATTGTATAATAAACAAAAAATTCATTAAAGAATATTATATAACTTGTAAATTTTGCTTCTTGCATTGTATTGAAAATTTACTAAATGTATTGAGCACTTAATAGCACAAATATTGAACTTGTAAAAATCGCTCGAGAATAAAAATAAGTCGAAAGAATACACGATACAGTTGTATCGTGAATTTTACGGTGCAACTTTAAAGCCTAGATTCTGTCCGCGAGATTAATTTAATTATTGTCGGTCGCGATTGCTTGTAATAAAACTCGTTCTTCGGCTTGATACAATGACCGGTCGCCATTTCATTCGTGATCAAATCTACCATCACGGATCCCATCCCGTTTGCATGCCCATGAAGCTTAATAAGGCATGGCCTTAATAAGCACTTCGCTGCAGAACAAAACACCGATTAATCCCAGACTGGACCGATACGGATTGGTTTCGAGCTCGAAGCTGCCGACTCGCGCGGGATAGGTCGGCTTAGGTTCGTCATCAACTATCGTATATAATCACAGTCTTTATTCGATATTGCTCGAACGTGACTGTTGAGATCATCGAACGGTGCAGTGAAATTAATGCAACTTTCGAAGACGTAACACACAGTCCTTTAGAAATAATTATTTACTTCAAAAGCATACACTCACGTTTCATTATAACGGTGTAGTCTACATTGCACTTAGATATCGTTTACGTAACTTATATGAAGAAAACGGATTTTATCGACGGCATCTAAAAATTAATTGCCTCTGTCTTAATCTCGTAAAAACTTACGTTGTCAGGCAAGCATAATAAATCATACAATATTACGATCAGTTCATCTCCACTACTTTCTTAATAAAAAAAAAACTATTTTTTTTGGCAACAGTCAAAGTTCAGGTTGTTCATTTACCATTACTATCTCAGATTATGACGTCAGAAATGAGAAAATGCAATTAAAATTCTTGCAAATTTGAATAAAAATATTTTTCATTAAAGCAACATTTATAATTAATAATAAAAATAAAATATATCAAAAACTTATTTTAAGAAGAAATTAAATCATATTCATATCTATACTTTGATATTTTGCTATAGTTGTGAACGTAGCTTATTTTTTTCGTTATGCACAATTTACTTCCAGATAACAGTTCTTTAAAACAAAGGGATTTTTAATATATATATTTTACAAGTCTCTTGATGATGATTATTTGATTAAAATATATTTCCATATTAATATATTTTATAATTTTTATTGTGTACTTTCTTCTGACGTCATATTCTGAAATAATAGTGGTGAATAAATATAAGCCTTAAATAGCAATGTTATTTTAACTGTTTGCAACTTAAAGCAAACATTATGATGAAAACAATCGATAACTTTTTTATGTAGATATCATATATGTAATTTATTTAGGATACTGTAATGTAGCGTTTCTCTAATCACTCTCTAACCACGAGAGTATCTCGAGCACGTGGGTCCTGCTTATGTCGCCGCACGTGAGAATGGTGCTTTAAGGTGCGTGGACACAGCAGGAGCTCGTACGCGGTACACCGAGATTCTCCGCTTCTTATCAGATCGCATCTCTGATTCGCGTGTCTTGCAGCTAAACTCTTTGACAGTGCCGACACGTATCTGCCTTCTGACCCCGTTTCTCTATTTCGACGCGGCAGAAAACAAGCAAAAAGAAAGCATTTTCATCATTTCAATCGTACTTTCAATAAAGACATTTCGAAAAAATACAGCATAAAAAGTATAAAGCAAGACAATACAAATGTATTCCTTTACTTTCGAACTCATTGATATATATACACGCTACTATATGAGATACTATTTAAAAATGTCAAAAATTCCATATAGAAATCCAGTTTAGTACTGGCTAATTTAATATTGAAAGATACTGATTAATTCTTTACTTTGAAAATTAAAAGTAGTGTTAGTCAGTGCTTTTAATATTTAAAATAAGTAACTAACCATTGTTTTCTATTAAACTAAGTAATTCAATACATTTTGTGTGAACCTGTATCTTATACGTTGATGTAATACAAAATACAAAATAAAATGTCGAGTATCACTCTGCGTTTAAAAGTAAAATTTTTTTAATCGATAAATAAATTTTCAAAAGTAATTATTCTAAGGAAAGTAATAACTGACATATCCTCAATGTCTCTCTCTATATCACGTAAGAATTCGGTATATCTTCAGACGAGGTTCGTTTTGCTTGAGCGCGATTCGGACACAAGGCTTCCTCACAATATTGAGATTTAAATACGCGGATTTCGCGTTCATATCTCTCGCCTAATTATGCCCGCGCTTCGTGAAATCTACGATCTGACTGTTCGCGTACGAGCATTATATATAGCGGCACGCAGAGAGTCACGCCAAGTCCTAATTATTTAGATAGCGATCATAGTGGTTTAATTATTCCCACTCCTTTCTATCGCTGCTCCGTTCGCCGGTATGGTAATGGCACTTAATGCAGATAGCAACACCGATACTATTTGCCGTACCGGTTACTAATTGCAAGCTCACAATTATTATGCGCGCATCCAGCGAATGGATTTGGAAACTCGGAAAATACGTAACGACGACAATCATCGTCCCCGTTATATATATTTCTGTATAATACGTAATTTCTTATATAATACAGTCAGCGTTTTTCCGATCAGCTGATACAATGGAAGAAATGCTTATTTATGTAAATTCGTTAGTTAAATTATTGTGAATTACGAAGCGTTATAAAAGTAATGTAAAGAATAAATTTTCTTAATCTGAAATACATGGTTATGTATATTTAAAATAATAAATAAATAATTCTGAATCATTCTGAATCGTCTACTGTTAATTAATTTGGTGCTCGTAACGCGATTTAATGTATTAGTTAGCGAATTTAATATTGCCAAAATTTCATGACATGTTTGATATCTGTTTGAGATTCCGCTACAGTTTTGGGAACTTGATAGTGACTCATCATGGATAGATCATTTTACCAACATTAATCGTTGAATATGTATAACTTGCTCGACTCAAATGAGAATGACTCAAAAGAGAGTGGAAATGTTCAAGATTTCGTAATAAAGCTGCACATCATTTATTATTATGAAGTATTTTATATGAATTAAACTTATGCGCATGTATTTCCGCGCTGACTTTCATTAGCCTTAATCTTATTGTTATTTATTATTTTAAAGTTTGAGAATCCAATTTAAATTATTTTTTGTTGTTACGTACATTTGTGATTTTGTTAAGTATCATAATAATCTTAATTATTTATAACAGTATTGAATGTAAAGAAAAATCGCGTAATTGCCGATCAGTCTATCTGTTTCACTCAAGTTAGAGTCCTGTTCCCAAGGAAGACTCCTGCAGGAAGAAGCAAAAGCAACGAATGGTTCGGCATAAAAGGATCCATAAAAGAAAAATGGGATGGAGCATATTAAATAACGACGATGTCGATTAGTATTGACAATGGCGATTAAAGAGGCCGAATTGCCAGTCGGTAATGACCGAGCTGGCTGTGCAAGCAGTGAGCACTGTAATTTCATTGATAATATTTAAATACGGGCTTTTGATAGCTGTCTTCTCTCGGCTGGCATTAGCGCGGACCCCGAAGGGCCTTATAGCCCCTTCCCTCCACCCCTTGACAGAAGAGCGCAGAGGCGTACTATTTATCGACCTGGTACCATCATTATTTCATCGAACTCTTTCATCGCCTTGCCTGGTTAATCGATAACCCGCGAAGAGACGAAAGTCTCGACCTCTCAGATAAATTTACCGACCATTTGAATTAAAACAAAAAATCGTTTCATAATATTTTTGCCATATTTTTTGTCCGGAAAATCCATGCACGTTTCCTGACGTTGAATCCATCGCACCGCGGATCTTACAAATAATGTGTGAGTAACGTTTCTCTCGAGGAAATCGTAGGCGTGAGAGATCGACAGTAATGTGCAGACGATTGTTATTTGCTTAAATATACATACGAATTTTTTAACGCACAACTGCGTCTTGCACGGCTTAATTAGCGCGATTTTACCTGATCGCAATCACGCGCTACACAACTCTAGGGTTAATGTGTATTTAATTCACAATACGGAGAGAAACAAGCAGATAGCATGACCGGCGATATTCTTTAGACTTTTCATATTTTAAGATCCGTCAGCCAACGCAATCTATAATTTAAGCATAGATAAAGCGCAATTGTTCTGTTCCCAAGAAAGTTCTGATGTATACCGAGAAAAGATTACGCTTTTTTATGCATCTAAGAATTATAATTATAATTTAAATAACATATATTCGCAAGTATAAAATGTATAAGGCACTGATTATGAAAATAATATCAATAAAATTATATATTTCTAGAAGACTCACATAACGTCAATTATCTTCGCTTTGAAACGATAACTTCCTTCCACATATAAATCATAAAATGCAAGAACTATAAATATACTGCATTACAGAAATATAATCATGTTTAATACTTATTACATAATACTTATATAAATTAAATATAGATAATATTTTCAATTTAAATAAAATGCAAATTATTTTGTGCTACAATGCCTATTCGAATAAAGGAATAATTTAAGGCGGATGGACAAGGTTTTTTTACGAATGTGATCCGATACAATCTAATTGGATATGAAATTAAGTCAACGAAATTCCGGCAAAAATCCCAGCGGTGCGGTGAAATTTGAAATTTATATGTCCTGCCTGCGCAAGCGGATTGTTTCGCGTAAGCTGATGCATCCGTCATCTTTTTCTGCGGA